CCCCAAAACCCCAAAACCCCAAAACCCCAAAACCCCGGGGAGGAGGGGAGGTGTTGAAGTGTTAATTTGTTATATGGTAAAATTAGGAAGGTGGTGAGTTTTGGAGATTTTGGGTTTGGTTGAGGGTGTTTAGAATAGTTTTGAAACCCGGATTTTTGAGAGTAATTTATCTATTCTCTTTGCTTTAGTTTTGATATCGACTATTTTCTTTGACCTGAAAATTGAAGTTAGGCTCGAGTTTCTTAACCTAATCTCTTCTGAGCAGTTAAATGACAGTAGTTTCTTGCTATCAAGGGCATAATTCTTCAGGATTCTTCTCTTCTTCGGAATAGTCTTGGAATTTTTATGTTGCGAATTCCATAACTTAATCTTGATTTTCTGGTTGCTCAGAGAATTTCTTGAAAATTTCTTCTCCAGATCTTGTAACAAGTCTTTATTTGTACGAACAGGAGTATTAAGTGTGGGGAGGCTATCACCCACTACTTTAGCTGATTCAGAGGCAGTAACTTTGGCAGCTTTGAATCTCTTCTTGTGATTTTTGAGCTGCTTCTTAACCCTAGCTTGCACTCTTCGCTTGGTACTGTCTGGTCTTATTCCTTTTACAGTGTATTGGACTTCTTCAATGATGCTTAACTGAGGATTCAGCTTTTTCTCTTTCTCTTGTTTTTGATCATGCTCAGATATATTTTCTTTGGAGTCATTCTCAGATGAGCTTAGGGATTTTTCAGAATGAGAATTCTCAATTGATTTTGGAAAGTTTTTGCCACTGAGCGTTTCAATGCTGACCTGATTTTTCTGACTTAAGCCAAGCTCTGATAATTTGTGATTATCAAATATAGTCTCAGAGTTATTTCAGATTTCATAACTCCCTTTATGCTCTGGATTTTTGTGGTCAGACAATGAGGAACATGAACCTCTGTCTTTGAGGTTAAAATCTGGCAAGGCTTTTAGAGGCTCTTCTTCATCAGCATAAGGGTTTATCTCTCTATAACGTCCAAATTTGTAATTTCTCTGTTTCATATTCATCATATAAGTCTTGTTCTGAGTATTTGAGCTTGTGTACTTGTCCATGATACTTTGACCTCCAACATAAAACTTTGAAATTTTGCTATCTTTTCTTGAATGGCTGATCCTTGTCCTCAATTTCTGAGTTAAATGGCTGGGTTTTGCTCATGGAAAGCGAAGATGATAAATAATCTGCAGTATTTCTGTCTATTCTCTGCCGTCCATAAGCATTCAGAATGTCAAGACTGCTTATAGGCTTTCGATTCCAGGCTTTGTTTAGAGCTTGTCGTATTAGAGAATAGTCTTTAAGTTTGTGTGTCTCTCGAGAAGCAGAAGTCATAATAAAAATTATATTATGAACATTTCAATCATTAAAATATTAATTGGGGTTTTGGGGTTTTGGGGTTTTGGGG